ATAATGGACGGACTATACAGAGTCCATTGGGTAAAAATACAACTTAACAATACAACTTGTCTGTTTTGTTCTGTTTTTAAATCAGAACCCAAAGAACACAATGATAAAACAATGTACGACAAAAACACTCTGCACATCCAATTCAATCCAATCAAACTTTATTTATAAAGCACTTTAAAACCTCCAGACCAAAGTGCTGTACAGAGAAATACAAAATCACACAGCACAGCTCACAAATAAAAGGAAAGAACACAAAATAAACAAGAATAAAAATAACAGCCATATTGTCAAAACAATATACCATTTAAAAGCAACAATCTACAAAGTGCAGAACGCTAAGGAGAAGAGGTGGGTTTAAATGTTTGAATTGAAAAACAGACAGGGTAGAAGCATGTCTTATTTGGAGGGGCAGAGTTTTCCATAGTGGGCCGCAGCAGCAACAACTGGCATACAATACAATGCATTTATTTAAGATAAAAAAACATGAGTCCTAAACTCAGTCCTCAAACATATATCATTTATAAATCCTGTAGGAGAACAGTACTTTTCTAAAAAGGTTTGATAAGATAAACTTGCTGATGCTATAGCACTGCTGGTTGGACACGTGTTGGCAAGGTTAGCCCTTAACCACAGTGACCAGCCCAGGGGTGATGTATTTTGAGGGGAAGGGGCAGAGGCTGAGTTGTGGTTCATTGCGTCCAGAATGTGCCGATGTGACAGATGATGCTTACCAAGAGAGCTGACTACTTCCATCTGTAAAATGTCAAACCTTGGGCACAGCAAATCCAAGCAAACCATGCTCACAGTTAGACCATGACCACCTCTGGCCTTTAGAGCGGGGAAAACACGTGACTATAATTCTTCTGCTCACAAACTCATTATTTTCTGAGGTGTGGTTTCCAGGTAGGTCAACGATAATATTTTCAGCAATAGTGCTGGTTCAAAGCCCATTCTCTACCCATCATTGGACTGGCAATGCACTAAACCATTCCGTTTTGTTGGGAGGTGGCCCACATGTTAGTTGTTTGGGCTGAATCCAACCAGGACCCATGGGTGCAGGTCCAGACCCCAGATGCTCGCCTCCCAGCCTGCTGTTGGAAAGAGACCAAGATTTCACTGTTTCAGAGGTGACTCTTTTTATTTAAGGCCAATGCAGAAGATTTGTTGAATCTGTTTTTTTTGTTGCTTTTAGAGTAGAAATTACTTCTCCCTCCTTTCTGATGGACTACGTCTGGGACAAGTCAAACTGGGTGGAGTCCCCTGGGCAAACACAAAACAACCTGAAGAACCTTTTAAAGATATGGTGTCGGTAGTGTTGGAACCAGTGTTGGGAAATTTCACTTTCTACATGAACTAGTTCAGTTCACAGTTCACACATTTTAAAATGAACTAGTTCAGTTCACAGTTCACACATTTTAAAATGAACTAGTTCAGTTCACAAATTTTAAAATGAACTAGTTCAGTTCATAGTTCATAATTCAAAATGTTTAACTAAAGTTCATGGTTTCAAAAATGAACTAATTTATAGTTTATAGTTATTTTTTCAATACGTTGCTGCGAGCTATTATTTGTCAAAATGATTGCCACAACCCATATAGAACCACAGACAGCAATCAGAATACTGGCATTTCCATAAGGCTTTGCTGCCGCCCATTCAGTCCACACTAGTAGCAGCTGCAGCTTTCATCTCTACAGTATATTTTCAAAAACATGAGGAAAAACGTGCTGCTTGAATGGTCTTTATTAAGTATAATAATCTAAATATACTTAAAGTACCAAAAGTGAAAGTAGTCATTGTGCAAACATATAAACATGTGCCGACATAACTCTGTACTAACACAACACGAGGTAGGAACCAGGCTGAGGTATGAAACTAAGGTTACAGGCAAACGTTAGATTTTTTCCATCTGAGTCAGTACTGACTTTAACGTAAAACTCTTTTAAATGCTCATACGCCGACGCCGTAGAGTCTGACTCTGAGCGAGTGCTGCTGCAGCTGCTCTCGGCTTCGTCCATACTAATTAATTAATTCATTCAATGCTCGCCGGTTCAGCGGTTCCACATTGTTTGTTGTGAGGAGTCTGATGACGTATATTTTAGTGCGACAGGCGCGCATGCGTCACAGGCAGCTTGCTGTTGCCAGATTGGGTGGTTTTCCGCATTATTTTGAAGCCTGTTTACGGTGTGTTTTAACTGGGTTTTCGGCTGAAAGGCATATGAAATCTGGCACCCTTTTGAATGCCGTTATAATACAGTGCTGAGAATGAACGCACTTTTGAACGCCGTTATACAGCGCTGAGAATGAACGCGTTCTCAATTACGTTCATCTAGCGGAAATACAGTACGTTCAGTTCACGTTCGCCCAAAATATGAACGCGTTCATGAACGATCGTTCATTGAACGCGTTCAGGTACATCACTGGTTGGAACATAGCTGTAGCACAGGGGTGGCAAACCAGTCAGAGGTTAAGAGCCACATTTTTTCTATGTTACTGCAAAGAGCCACATCAAACACACAGGCACTGATACCGCTTGTTTCCGTTTTTTTGTTTTCTGGAGACAAGATTTCAACCACGTCACTGATGCATTTTTGTGGCATTGGGATATATATTTTTTAAATCCTCTGGAGCAGAGAGAGGAGCTGTGGATTATTGTTATTGATTAATGCATCAGTGTTTCTTAGGGTCAAAAACACTAAATTCACAACTTAAAATGAAAGCGTTTAGTTTATTTAATAAAAGAGCACATGTTCAATGTGAAAAGTGACAGTAGTTATAGATTATTTGCAATTTGGTGCTATATATATTTTAAAAAAAAAATTATATATATTTTTTAAACACCTTGAATTTCAGGGGGGGCGCGGGGCTCCGTTGGCGGGGCGCAGCGCCCCTCCAAAACAATGGTAGGGGAAACACTGGATAGTGTTTAATCAACGATAGGTTTCCCCCCCTCAAAGGTGATTGGTTCACTGCATCGCAGGTATTATTGTGATTGGCTCTTGGGCCACATCAAAATTAGACTTGCTGTCATCCTCTCATACTGACACCTGACACCACACATACACACCGGGAGCCGGGACGAAAGTAACACGGGACGAAAGTAACGGAGCGATTTTATCCGAGCCCAAACAACTTTGACCGGCCAAATTACGTTAATACTTAACAGACCTACTAAATATCAGGTTTAACTGTCAGGAGTAGCTAGTGTTGTCACGATACCAACATTTTGGTTTCGATACCAAGTCAAGAATTGCGATTCCGATTATTTTTCGATACTTTTCTTAAAAAACAGTCTTAAATGTAATTATTGTGCTTTATTTCACACCAGAACCATAACCATAACACAAACTTTTAAACAATGAGAACAATAAATTAAATAAATGACAAGATTTCCTATTAAATACAATTAATACATTTCTTACAGACAGGCCTCGTGGTGTCCGTAGGCTTGCCCTCACTGTCAGAGATATAGCTCAAATACTTCCAAATTTCGCTTCTGGCGTCTTTTTTGTCAACAAGCCGACGCGCAGCGGCAGTTGCACTCCCACTTGCAGCCATGCTTCTCGTTTTCTCACATGCTCTGGCAGCTAGCGCGTGCACGAGAGAGGGGAGGGACTTAGAGCGTGCTTGAGAGGGGCGGGACTGCAGGCACGGCTGCAGTGCAGGGAGTGGAAGCAGAGCGCTGAACACACACGGCTCTTATTAAAACGGCGCTTTCTCACCGGAGTACTTTCCCCCGTCATTCTTAAAGTACCGATACTAATGAAACGGAGGAATCGTAACATTTTTAACGGCAGGGTATCGCGGTACCTTTCAAGTATCGGTACACCGTGCAACACTAGTCAGGAGTCAGTGTCTCTCCCCCAAACTCACACATATACAATTCGATATAACTGAAGAGCCGCATGAAACTAGGCAAAGAGCCGCATGCGGCTCGAGAGCCGCGGGTTGGCCACCCCTGCTGTAGCATGTAGTTTATATCTGCTAGTGTTGCTGTCGGTCAGCCCCAAATATCCTGTGAAGCTTTGTATGCAGCTCAGTTATCTGTGGTCCCGTATGCTGTGTTTTGCCACTAAATGAATCTTGTTCATGTACGACAATATTTTTCCGCCGGCGTAGGCACAGACTGGAGCTACAGAGCTACGTTTTCATGGCAGCTGCTACCAAAGTGGGGGGGGGTTTAACTACAACTAGACCTATTTGTTGTCACAGAATCCACACCTCACATTCAACATTCAAATTTGGACATTAAGCCTGAAGGTAAGAAACTATGTATCCACATTGATTTGAATAATATAAATGATATAATTTAAAACTTCTTTATGAAAGTCAGTATATCACTTTCTTTTGCTTTTTATTTTCTTGGAACATGTTGTTTCACTGTTTTTGAAAGGTGCTGTGGATGGAAAGGGTTTGCAGAATATTATTTCCATGTTCTCGTATGCGGTTCAGGCTCCAAATATCTTGTAAGATTGATAGAACCCAGTATGAATCCAGTAGCAGATGTTCTGTCTATTATGAACATATACATCATATTGTTTGGGCCTTTCCAGCCTAATTTAAGGTGACTTAAATATTTATATCCAGCATTAAGAGTTTGTGCCTTGGATGGGTGATGGTGATGTGGAGTCTTGTTAGTGTCTGACCCTCAGGGCCTCTCACACAGGTGGGAAACCATCAACATGAGTCTGTGTAGAAAACAGCAACCATATAGCTGTATGCCTGCTCTCAATTTACATCTGCTCCATGTAACTCTCCAAGCCGGAAAACATAATGAGCACAAACAACTCAGAGGAAAATGAGATAAATGAGGGCTATAATTGTGTTTGGAATTGCAATTACTGTTATCACAGCCTTTTGTCGCAGGGATTTAGTGTAGCCAGATGTTCTAATGGAAAAGATTGCCATTGTTTGAGTGAATTGGATCAACCCCATTCTGAGCTTCCAGCTCTATCGACATGCAATTAGTGATTTTTATTGACCAACTACAGCTGGTGCAGAAATGACAGGCAGTCTCAGACTAAGCATTACTGAGGTGACTCATGAAGCCGCCAGGTAGGGTTAGAATAAAATACAACAAGGTACAACTTCAGTGAAACACAAGCCCGTCAGCTCCTTAAATGTGTGCATTATTCACCAAATGCTTCCTGCTTGTTCACTTACTCTTTCAGATTAGCACTGTCGATTAATTCCTTTTACTCACTGATAAAAAGGTAATCACAGTTTCTGACATCCGTCTAATATTCAATGTGGACATGGAGACCGTCCAATCTAACACTGATAGCTGGACATTACTATCCGGCAGAGAAGCTCCACTAAGCAGTGTATGGTAATATTGTAGTTGGTGCTCATCTTCTTCAACTTTTCCTCTCTTTTTACTCTGATGATGCCAGGTCACAGGGTCTGGATGAAGAGAGCCAAGAAGACAGAGATTTTATTTCCTTATCTTGTAAGTTTACTCATATTCTCATGTTGTCATTATCCAATCTGAATAACAAAAGAAACAACTTATTTTTGTTTTAAAGTAAACATGGACTGGAGACATGGAGAAAGAAAAAGAGATGGAGAGAAAATGTTGCTAAAAGATTAGCCTTGTGCTAACCTCTAAGATGTTGCATCAATTCTTAACTGTATGGCTACTATTAGCTCTCCACCCTGGCCAGAGCCGTGAGCAGAAGCTAAAGAAACATGTTCTTTCATTCCCTGAAACACTTCCATATTTCCTTTTGGCATGCTTTGGCTTGTAGGCAGTTGTTGCCAATTCTGGAAGAGGAACTTTTTCTGCCAATTATATCTCTGTTGGAACTCTATCTCATAACTGATCCATTAAGCTCAAGTCTCCTGTTCTTATATTCATAAACAAATGAATACATATTAGTTTTGGCTAAAATAGATTGATATCATCAATATAAAGTAGTACAAATGTCAACAGTTAACATTGACCTAAACTGCATTACAACTAACTATATAGTATATAACTATGAGACTCAAATGCTCATACAGTACTTTCAGTGAACTTAAACACGACTAACACAGGATGAGGTTGACTAAATGTGATTAAAGCTAACAAGGATATTTCACAAGACTAAAACACAAGTCAAACATAGCTGACAAAATGAACTCTTTAACTTTGTTCCAAATGTATTTTGGATGTATTACGTAATATGAATGAAGTGAGCAAATAATTTCCCCCATATACTGCAATTTGTATAATGACATCTGTACATGACAGGACACCTCTTAATGAAAACCTTCCCAGAATCCAGACACAATTCATGAAGTGGCCTGGGGGACTAAGAGAAACTGATACTAACATACATAAATCATTATTATTCATGATGCCGGGGTTGTGAGCCCTTCATTATAACAAAGACATGAGAAATGATTTAGAGATACAATTATTTTTGTAATGAAATGAAAAACACACAAACCCTGAAAACAAACGCAACAGAAAAACGCTGCAAATACAAAAACGATATGCAAAGTCAAAAACACAATACAAACCCCAAAACACATACAAACCAAAAACACACAGTGCTCCAGGCCTCTAGGGGGCGTGTTATGTGGAACAGATTGATGTCTGACCAGACATAAAGAGAACGAATGAGAGTGATGGAAAGTCGGAGGAACAAAGTTGATTGAAGTGGACAAAGTCGATATATAAGAAGGTAAGTTTTGTTTTGTTGTTATACAAAGAGCGTCATATTTACGCAGCTAGCATTAGCGTGCCTACAGTAACTACTACACCAGCTGAGGAGAGGAGAGCTTCACGTGAAGAGAAGATAAAGTGAGGGAAGAACATTGTTAAACGAGATGACTCGAGTGCAGGTAAATAACACGGGCCATAGTGAGTACCGCGGTTACATTTGAAGAGAGACATTCTTAGCAGTTTGTTTATATGTATGTATTTGTGTATGTTGCAACTATACAGAGCTTTAGCAATACTATATGTCGGTGGAGAAGTGATAAAATGTGAAGAGGGACAAAGTAATGACAGGAGAGTAGTTTGCATTAGATATGCTCAAGAACAAATATAGAGAAGACATTCAAGGAGAGAGAGACAAACCACAGATTCAACGGTAAACATGTTGTATCTTTCTATTTATTTAGCTAACCACTATTTAGACTGTTTTTTTGATTGACTTGATTACATGGATTTACTACTTCAATGTATGTATTTTCAGGCTGCCATGTTTTGTCCTTTCTGTGGCCAACATCTGGCGACAGTTCAAGTGTTCTGTGGCTCCTGTGGCAAAAATATACAGTTTTTGGCAGAACAACAGTAAGTTCACTTTTTGTATTGTATCTGTTTCAAATGCAAGAAATAAGGATTCATCCCACTACTCTGTTTTGAATACTAATTGACAGATGCATACACTAGTTATCAGCATGAAGGACACATTTTTTCCTTGTCTGGTTATGTGAAATATGTAGAAGCTGTCACGATCCTAATGTTATGTCACGTTTTTAGTTTAGTCTGTCTTGTTTTGGGTGTTATTTTGTAATTCTGTTCTCCCTGTCTCTTGTTTTTCCTCCTGTGTCTGATTGTCTAATTGTGTTCACCTGTTGCCCTTGTGTTTCTACCTCCCCTGCCTAGCTGTTTCTTGTCCCGTGATTACCCCTCTCTGTATTTAGTCTTGTCTCTTCCTGTGTTCCCCTGTTGGTTCATTGTTTGTTTTTCCTGTCTCCCTCCATGTCAGTCACGGTCAGTCTTTCGGTAATGTTTTTTCCGTGTGCCTTCGCTTTATTTCATGCCATGTTTTTTGTCATCGGCTTTTGTAATAAAGCTCGTTTTGTTTATAGATCTTTACCCTTTTTGTAGTCTGCATTTGGGTCCTACCTTTTCCGCGATTCGTAACAGTGATCATAACAGAATGAACCGACCAACTATGGACCCAGCGGATTTTAATGATTTTGAGTTGGATCTGTTGGATCTGGATTTCTCCCTTCAATGTTATTATGCCGAGTGGAGTGGAACCTCGTCTAGAAGGGACAAAGAGGCTATCCTCAAAAAAGGCACAAATGGAGGTGGCCAACATGCCATGGTTGAGGAGCTCATTGCCTGAATGGCTCAGAGTTTTTTCACGTAGCCCTGAGAGCCAGTCTTCATTTTCTGACCCTTTTTTGGGATCCCGCCTGGCGTTTGGACGTCCACGGAGCCTCCAAAAGACCTCTAAAAAACGCAAGGTCAGGAATCCAGCTCGTACTCCAGTACCGATCCACACAGCCATGGTTCCGTGCTCCAGTGCCGGCCCACACAGTCATGGTACCGTGCTCCAGTACCATCCCACACAGCCATGGTTCCGTGTTCCGGTTCCGTGCCCAGCAGCCATCTTTCCGGCTCCAGAACCGGCCAATACAGCCATGATCCAGGCTTCAGTTCCGGTCCCCACAGCCATGGTTCCGGCTCCAGAACCGGCCAATACAGCCATTGTCCCTGCTCCAGAACCGGCCCATACAGCCATGGTTCCGGCTCCAGAACCGGCCCATACAGCCATGGTCCAGGCCTCTGTTCCAGTCCCAGCAGCCATGGTCCACGGTCCCAGCTGGCCTGTTGGCTCTCCGGCCGACGCCAGCTCCCCGTGTCCTGTCGGCGTACCGACCATCTCAAGTCACCTCTCAAGTTCCCTCTCGAGTCCCCTTTCAAGTCATCTCTCGAGTCCCCTCTCAAGTTCCTTCTCAGGTCTCTTCTCGAGTCCCCTTTCAAGTCTCCTCTCGAGTCCCCTCTCAAGTTCCTTCTCAGATCTCTTCTCGAGTCCCCTTTCAAGTCTCCTCTCGAGTTCCCTCTCAAGTTCCCTCTCGAGTCCCCTCTCGAGTCACCTCTCCAGTCCCCTCTCGAGTCACCTCTCCAGTCCCTTCTCGAGTCTCCTCTCGAGTTCCTTCTCGAGTCCCCTCTTGAGTCTCTTCTCGAGTTCCCTCTCAAGTTCCTTCTCGATTTCCCTCAAGTCCCTTCTCTAGTCCTTACTCAAGTCCCTACTCTATGTCCTGTACCGTTGGGGGTCCCGCCGACTACTGTTCTGCCGGGGGTCCTGCCAACCCCAAGTCCTGTTTCGTTGGGGGTCCCGCCGACTACTGTTCTGCCGGGGGTCCTGCCAACCCTATGTCTTGTGCCGTTGGAGGACCAGTCGACACCTGTCTCGCCGGGGGTCCTGCCAACTCTATGTCCTGTGCCGTTGGAGGTCCAGCCGACACCTGTTTCGTCGGGGGTCCTGCCAACTCCATGTCCTGTGGCGTTGGGGGTAGGCCTTTCCCGATAATTAATTTTGTTGGACGATAAATGTTCCTGGAAATTATTGCGATAAACGATAATATTGTCGGCACTGTTGTAAGACCATTTTACATCACTGACATAATGATAATATATAATAATAATTCAAGTACATCCTTTCTAACATAACTTTTTATTGAACATTCAACATTGCAAATGAAATGTGAAATAATATTAAAATATATAAATTATATATAATAAATAAAACAAATTAATTAAATTATAATAAATTAATTGAATCACACACAACCAAAACAATACATTAAATAGACTCAGGCTGGAAAACATAGCTATATATCTATCTATATATATATATATATAAATATGAGCACATTGTCTCACAAGCAAAAAAAACAACAGTCAAGTGCACTGTCCATACAAAGACCCAGATGCCTCAACAGCAGGCCATATCCAAATCTGTTTTTCAAAGTTTTCGAGCAAGGAACAACAACATGTTTGCATTGTCGGGCAAATGCATCTTTGATTGTAAACTGTCGGGAAGGTGGGGGCTCTCCATCTCCAGCTGGCGTGTTTGCTACCAGCTGGGAAAATGGAATGGGGTGGTTGTGTTTTAGGTGTAGTTTAAAATGTGTGGTATTGCCTGCTTTTGTCGCTACCTTTTTTTAAACAAATGCGACACAACGCCCGGCTCATTCAAGTCCGTAGGTTCGCCTCGTTGATTTGGCTTGAATCCAAAATACTGCCACACCGGAGAATCGAGATGTGTAGTTACTAGGTTTTGTAACCAATTCCATTTCACTTTAAATTCCCTGCGAGTAAGTCACACGTTGTCTCCCGTTTGTCGCTATATTATTAATTTGGCTTCTACGCTGCTGCACGTGCACACGGAGTGTCCTGACTAGGGCTGGGTATCGTTTGAATTTCCACGATTCCGATTCTACTTTTCGATTCCGGTTCTTAACGGTTCTCAATTCCGATTCTTTGAGGGGCAGGGTAAAAAAATGATACATGCTTTTTCCACCAAAAAAATTACATTTATTCGAGAAACTTTTACACAGGTTAGTTTACAGTAATATTCACATTAATCAGTCTGTTTATATTCACTGCTATGTAACTGTAACCTGAGAACCACTGAAGCTACAACAGTCCAACTTTTAAAGGAACCCCCCCCATTTAAAAACAGTTCTTGTTGAGAAAAACAAGCATATCTGCCTTCTCAGGCATACCGGGAAGAAATGTTTGAACATTTTAAAGTAAAATGCTTCAATCTGGTGCACTGGAATTACTAGAGACTAGATCTAGGGGGTACAACTCTAAACACCCATATGAAAAAGATCGGTTTACATTTTAATAATTAAATAAGTATGTGAACATAACCAATAACTTACCATAGCCAATAACAAATACATGTAACATATTTTATTTTTGTTGTTCATTCATATCTTATTTTACTAATGCATATTTTTTTATCTCTCCAGTTTAAAACGATATGTCTGGTTTACTGTCCTATAGTATACATTGGAATGATTTAAAACCTGTTTTATCCCAATAATTATAAAGGAGTGCCTTGGAAATATGTGTTTACATAAATTGTGATCAAACCGTTTGAGACCCACTGAGATAACTTAGACTAAAGTGAACTATCTAAACACTGAGAGAGTCCTTTACCTCACTGAGCTGTAGTTATCAGCCACTCAGTCTGACTGGAGAGGACTCTCCCTCCACATCATTGTAGAAACATCTTCTTCTTCCGTTAGAGAAGCAAGCACCAGATGCTAATAACAACAGCGTGTACCGGTGCACCCTCGCTCGCTCCCACGCTCATTCGCACTTACAGCGCCCATCGTACAGGGAAAATGAAAAGTGTAACCGGGATGAAAAGGGTATTTACTTAATTATGAATGTTGTTATATCAAGGCCGAACATTATGATGAGCACCAACGGTCAAAACATTTTGTTTCCTCCCAGAGCTGTCAGCGCAGCGCCTCCACAGATCTGGCGCCCAAGGCGAACATCTATAACGCCAATGCGACGTGCCGGCCCTGGTCTCAGGTTACGCTGTAGGAAGTGTAGGAACAACCATAGATATATATAAACTAATGCTGTCAAAATTATCGCCTTAACGGCGGTAAATAATTTTTTGAATTAATTGTGTTAAAATATTTAACGCATTTAACGCATGTGCAGAATGGCCCGCCCCATACATCCCACCAGTGGCAGCGCCAGGGTATGGCTGGTGTAGGCTACACCCAAACCAAGAAATGGCGTAGCCCCACCATGAAAAATGATGTTAAAGTAAGCAAAATAAAGTTCGCCAACTCGAGCCGAGAATTGCACAGACAGCAGTTAGTAAGATTGATTTCAGTAGCCACTTGTCTGGAAATACCGAAGACCAGAAACGGTTTTGAAAACTTTTGTCACGTAGTGATCGTCTTCTCAATAGAACATCTTTGATAATGTCTTCTGGCCAATCAGAATCAAGATAACGACGTGGTGTTGTCCCGACGGAGAATACTTTTGCTGTAGTAGGTGCCATATACAGTCTATGGTAGGTGCACATAACTGGTACGCAGGTACGCATGCGCGGCAACAATCTGAAATGCGTACCGTCACTTGTGTCACAAAGCGCATTTGCGTACCGACGTACTTGTGAAGCTTTTCCAGAAGGCGGTTAGATCACCGGACGACAGAGTCGGTCTCTCCCCCCCCTGTGTTGATAGAAATCAACACGTAATGAAATAAGACCCCACGGTTTGATGATTGATAGGTGTGTGGGCCGACTTTCATTTTGACACACAGAACAATGTTATAATAAACATACATACATAGGCTACTGTATGTTAAATGGATATATCCGCCTTCTTTCGTTTATCTTTCCATTCCCACAACAATATACATAAAGAAATGGCATATGTTGGACATAGTTCGAATGGTGATTAATCATGATTAATTAATTTTTAAGCTGTGATTAATCTGATTAAAAATGTTAATCGTTTGACAGCCCTAATATAAACATGTGTTTATATATATCTATGGGTACAACGCTACATTTCCCGCCCCTTCGCAGTCTTACAGTAGGCTACGGAGAGCGGCGAGAAACATTTCCTCAGGCATCGAAAAGCGGAACAGAAATTCACATTTCTAAATGATGCCGTTGGAATCGAAATGTTGGAACCGGTTCCCAACCCTAGTCCTGACCTGGCTGACCTGACAGCGCGCGTGGCCGGCAGCCTCAGCGCGCCTTGCAGCCACAGTGCACCTTGCAGCCACAGCGCGCCTTGCAGCCACAGCGCTCCTAGCTAAAATGCTGGTCACACCCTTATGTAAACGGCAATTTATCGAGCTCAGTCCATTTTTATTTATCGTACGATAAGTACATTTATCGATTATCGCGACAGGCCTAGTTGGGGGTTCTGCTGAGGGTCCTGCCATGTCCTGTGTCGTTGGGGGTTCTGCTGAGGGTCCTGCCAACTCCATGTCCTGTTTCGTTAGGGGTTCCACCGGATTTCCTGCAAACACCTGATCCTGTCCTGTTGGGGGTCCCGTCGACACCTGCTCCGCCGGGTTTCCTGCCAACTCCATATCCTGTCCTGTTGGAGGTCCCGCCGACACCTGCTCCGCCGAATTTCCTGCCAACACCAGATCCTGTCCTGTTGGGGGTCCCGCCGACACGTGCTACGCCGAGGGTCCTGTCGACACTAGCTCATGTTCCGTCCAGAGTCCCGTCCACGCCTGTCCCGTCAGGGGTTCCACCAGCTCCTGCTCTCGATCCCAGTGCTCCGGCGATCCAGCTGACATTGGAGGGGTCCCATTGCGGCGTACGTCGTCCTCCGGAGATGTCCCGTCGCCGTCTTCTTGCCCAGCCTCCTGAGTTTCCCAGCCGTCGTCTTCGTCCTCGAGCCCAGCCCCCTGACTTTTCCAGCCCCTGCCTTCGCCCTCATGCCCGGCCTCCTGAGTTTCCCAGCCCTCGAGCCCGGCACACTGACTTTTCCAGCCACTGCCTTCGCCCTCATGCCCCTGAGTTCGCTCGCTGTGGCCTTCGCCCCTTTTTGAACTCTGCCTTGCCCCCGGGCCGTCCGCCCGAGACCATCTCCTGTTCCTCTGCCTTGCCTCTGGGCTGTCGACCCAGACCCATCCTCTGGACCCCCTCCACCCACCCTTTTCGAAGTGTTGGACTTTGTTTTTGTTTTATGGACGTCTAGGATCCGTCCCTTGAGGAGGGGGTTCTGTCACGATCATAATGTTATGTCACGTTTTTAGTTGAGTCTGTCTTGTTTTGGGTGTTATTTTGTAATTCTGTACTCCCTGGCCCTTTCTCATTTCTCTAACTCCCCTCCTCGACTCCCCTCCTCGACTCCTATCCTCGATACTTAGTCCCGCCCACAGGAGATGCGAGCCGAGGAGGGGAACCGAGGAGAGAGTAGGGGAAGCAGCAGGCGGTTAGAGAAATGAGAACTCCTCTCCTCTGAGCGGTCATTTTAAAGAGACGTCCATTAATGATGACAGGAGGCACAGCAGCACTCTGTCTGATGGACAGATGTGTTCATGACGACTTATATATTTACTTTGATTTATTCACAGTGCGGTATAATGAGACAATAACAGGCTACAGATGCGGACACACACACACACACACATATGTATATATTTATATAAATATATACAATTTCAGAATCAAACAAAGCACTCTCATAATAACGTAACACTATCAGAGACTGGATATATCCCCCCCCCCCCCCCCTCTCTGGTCGCTACAATGAGGAAAATAAATTACGGGCCAAAAGTTTTATTTACAAGTATTAAAAGTAAACAGAGGACACCAAACCAACTGAGACCCGTCTGTCCGCTGCATCTACGCACACACTGTACCACACACACGCACATACAGTTCCTAAAACAGGCTACAGCCGTTGTGTATTTTATTATGTGAAGCACTAAATGGTTTTAGAAAAATATCGACTCTTTGTAGATATCTACTAAACTAAAGCAAATAAAAAGAGTAGGCCTGTTATACTGAGTGATATATATTAGGGGTGCACCGAATGGGAAATTCTTGTCCGAAACCGATACCGAAAATAGGAAACAGTTGGCCGAAAACCGAATGCCGAAAGGCCGAAAATGATTAATAGAAATATATATATATATAATGTATACATTTTTTACCAATGTTGTTCAGCTACCTGATTATGGAAATAGACATGATTATGGCAAAAATTAACTTAAATAATAATCACTATTATGGGTCCATAAAACATTTATTCAGCACTTTTGAATGCATACAGTACATTTATATATGTCATGTATTATTGCTAAAAAACATTATATCGCAGTCTTAGTGTCGCCAACTCGTTTCTAATATGCAAAGACAACAAATGCGTCTATGATGTATTTTCGATCAGACGAGATCTCTGCCCCGTCTGTGTGCGAGGGGGCGGGGCAGTTTACACACACGCAGCTGCTACATGCAGCGGAGCACACTGCGGAGATGGCGGAGAGAACGCGCTCCGAGGTGTGGTTAAACTTTACCCGTCTCGATGTGGAGAATACTTGTTACCATAAGTGCAATAAGAGTTTAGCATGTAAGCACGAGCAATTTGTCTAAACATTTAGCAAAAGTGCACCGCATGCAGACGGAGGAATGTACCGGGTTCGACCGTCTTTCTAGCAGCTCTGTAGCCCCATCCACGAGTAACGTTTCCACGTCAGGTGTTATGTATGCTAGCAGCAACACACGGAGTTAACTACATTATACAAACATGGGTTAATGATTAGAGGAAACTGAGTTATTTAGTTTGTTAAAATGTCAGCTATTCTGTTTACAGTCTGTCATCAGATTATTTAATACGATTTGTTAAAGGCTCAGGGCAATCTCGATGACAAAGGTCAATGTTCCCCCCCCCTGTGAGCCAGCCGCGAGCATGGTCGCCGCGTCTTTATTACGTCATCACAACAACACGTTAGATTACCAACGTAAGCCTGTTCTGACATTCGGTGATAGCCGAAAGGGCCTTTTTAACCATTTTCGGCCGATAATTTTCGGTGGCCGAATATTCGGTGCATCCCTAATATATATTATACACACTGCTCTGCTTTCTGCACGGACCTCACAGCTGAGATAAGTCCGGCCGTGCTTCACATCTCTGTTGCCGGAAATGCATCCACGAAGGAGCCGTGGAGGACCGTGGAGGACCCATCAGTGTATCCTCGGTTAGAGCTCCTCCAGAGAGCCTCCTCGACGCTCGATCCTCGGTCCTCGAAGTGCATTTAGAGAAATTAGATGTCCTTCAACATGGCCTGCTGAAATTCATTTCCGGGTCACTACCGGAGGACCGAGGAGTCGAGGAGGGGGATTTGATGAAATGAGAAAGGGCCCCTGTCTCTTGTCTTCCTTCCTGTGTTTTTCCTCCTGTGTCTGATTGTGTTCACCTTTTGCCCTTGTGTTTCTACCTCCCCTGCCCAGCTGTTTCTTGTCCCGTGATTACCCCTCTCTGTATTTAGTCTTGTCTTTTCTTGTGTTCCCCTGTCGGTTCATTGTTTGTTCTTCCTGTCTCCCTCCATGTCAGTAACAGTGATCATAAGAGAAGCCATCATTACATTGTAGACCAATGCATGATTAAATACACAAAACAGCTTATATTATACATTAATAATTGTGTATTAGTTCTATCTTTATAGAGAAAATTATACCTTTTGAATCAGATTTTGAGGCTGGGAAAGTCACACCGCCATGGGGCACAAACAGTTGCTATGACATGATGTTTTCTTCGCATTCCATAAGGAGGGTCAGGAACTCACGCTTGGGACCACCAGTGTCCACTCCATCCTCAGGTGGTCCCTCATCATCAGTGAACTTAACTGACATCTCATGAGAAGGGTCGAATGAGGCACATTTGAAGCTGCGGATTTCTCCATCCCACACATTGGCTCTATTAATATTGAACCTGCTACAAGATGTATTTGTTATTTTTGCAGAGAGTTCTGCAACAATGTCATCCGCAGTCAGGTGTTCTGTGCTGGGAAAGACACACTGATGTATTGTAATATTAAATGATGAAGCTTGTAATAAGATGTACAGTGAATAGAGAAATTAAGTGGTAATAGTAACAATTAATACCTTTCCTCTGCAGTTTGCTCCATTTTGTCTTCTGGCTCAGACTGTCTATCAATAAGGATAGGTGCATACACATTTGTGTAGTTGCTGCAGTGAGAAGACAGTTGACTAATTACTTTCGAATACATAATATATGCATGACAGTCATATTTACAAAAGGATGTCGATCCTCTTCCTGTTTTGTTTTTTCAATACATTGGGTTCTAAACTGACAGCAGAACTTTTGTCATACTCCTGCACAATCCTTGTAAACATTTGAAATGGATGCAACAAACAATATCTGTTCTTTGAAAAATATTTGTGGGTGTTTTTTGTATCGTCTTCACTAAGATGTAAGATGTTGTTGGTGTCATTTGGAAATTTACAAAAGTATAATTTTTCTACACAAAAAAAAAACACAAACAAACAAATGTAAAAATAAAGATACATACCAAACAACTGTGTCACGATGAAACTGTCAACATCGTTTACCTATAGAAGTTGTTCTGACCCGGGGCAGATTGGACCTCTTCCTGGAATTGGGTTGATTCTCCATCCTATTTTTACCCAGGAAATAAGTGCAGTTGATCTAATGACAGTGTCATTAGCACACAAAGGTATTTATTGATTTGATGTTCACAAATTCAAACCTACATGGTATAATTACATTTTGTATTTGTTTATCCGATCAGACGCTGGTTGTGGGTGCCTGAGAGGTCTGATAAAGGTAAACAACAAATATATTCAAACTACTGTACTGTTAAAACATTCTGCTTCTTGTGGCACAAAATAATATGTTGACAATGTTTTATTTTACCCTGGCCACACAAATGACTGACTGAAATAAAATAAATTCACTTTAATTAAGAATAAATGCCACGATAAATCCAAACTGACCAAGGTACATTCTATTGTTGACCGTCCTTTAACTCTCACATTAGGATTTACATTGGGGCACAATAAACCAACTCCTCTCTGCACCTATAATATATCTATATGATGTCAAGAGTTACATTTAGGTGCACAATGCTGTCTCTTGACTTGCAAGCTCTTTTACCAAACAAGCTAACGCTAGCTGGGTAAATATGACGCTCTTTGTATCAAAACAAAACTTACCTTCTTATATATCGACTTTGTCCACTTCGATCAACTTTGTTACCTCCGGCTTCAATTTCCATCACTCTCGTTCGTTCTCTCATGTCTGGTCAGACATCAATCTGTTCCACGTAACGCGCCCCCTAGAGGCCTGGAGCATTGTGTGTTTTTGGGTTTGTATGTTTTTTGACTTTGCATATCGTTTTTTGTATTTGCAGCATTTTTCTGTTGCGTTTGTTTTCGGGGTTTGTGTGTTGTATTTAGTTTGCATCATTTCTGTAAATGCAGCATTGTTTTGTTGTATTTGTTTTCAGGGTTTGTTTGTTTTTCATTTCATTATTTGCAGCTGTTTCCTGCTTATGTATGCGTTTTTGGCCGTTTTTCCACGTTTGTACCTGCCGGCCACCGTACATTTCCATGAGGTCTAGATAGATGGCATAATGGCTTAGTTATGGTACATTTGAGAGCTTAAAGTTACATTTCAAAGTTAATAACAGGAGGCATATACATTTGTGTGTTTGATATAGTTTAGGCCAAATAACATTCTAATCTGGTTCCACTGTGGGGTCTTTCCTCAGTATAATTCCACTGCCATGCATCCACCAATGACAGAGCTCAGGCATGTGCATGTTTAAAGAGAGGACTCCATTTATCCTTGAACCCGCTATCAATGTGCTGTTAGTGACCTAATTTAAAATGTAAATCTATCCTCTGAAAATGGTCGTGGTTGCAGAGATCACTACTGCTATGTCACTACAGTATGTCATGCTGCCATAAAAAGCAACTGCTAGAACTCAAACGAGCAATGTTGCTTTTTAAAAAAAAAAGTAATTTATAACGTTGCACCCCTGCTGCTGTTTGTTCTACTGCTATGGTAACAACCTGGGGTGTAAAAAGTCTCAAACCTGGAATAGAGTTTACTCAGATCTCTGGGGGTGTTCATGAATTCATGGGTCATTTCACAGGTCACTGTCTTACACTGTGTTTTGTAAGTCATTTTGTTCAACATATGTGAGCACAGTGCAGCTATCAAACTCCTACACTCTAGGTGGAGAATATCAAACAAAACCTTCATGCAGGAACGGGCTGACTCTGCAGATTTTGAGGGACAGATACATTACACAGGTACATCTGTCAGTTTTTGAAATAT